GCCCTGCATCGTTTCAGCCAAAAAAGGCCTGAGCCTTTTCAGCCTGAAACCGAGGGCTATTTTCGGGCCTGCAGACCCCGTGACGGTTCAGCCCAAAAGCCTGCCATCCGGGGCCCACAAGCCCTGCATCGTTTCAGCCAAAAAAGGCCTGAGCCTTTTCAGCCTCAAACTGAGGGCTATTTCCGGGCCTACAGGCCCCATGACGGTTCAGCCCAAAAGCCTGACATCCGGGGCCCACAGGCCCTGCATCGTTTCAGCCTAAAAAAAGGCCCGAGCCTTTTTAGCCTGAAACCGAGGGCTATTCTCGGGCCCTCGTCAGACCAACCTGCCCAGATACAAGCACATTCAGGCATTGGCAGGAGTGACCTGCCCTGAAGCTTCCTTAGGGGCTAGCACGTGCAGGCATTGGCAAGAGCAGTCTCCTGGACGGGCCAGCGCTATATAAGACTGGCCCACCCTACAGGTTGGGACAGACGAGAGGAGACTGCCCAGGCACTCGATGTGCACTTCTACAGGAGGCAGTAGTCTTCAGGATTCGGCTGCAGTAGTAGAGTAGCGTTAGCAGTAGTCTTCAGCGCTGGGCGCTAGTAGCAGTAGGCTAGAGTAGTGGATCGGAGGTTGGCGGAGTCCAGGGATGCTTACCTGTGGCGCCATAGCTCCAACTTCGTCTTCGAGGTACCTGTAGAAGAGCGCCACTCACCGAGTGACTTACCTGAGGCGCCATCGCTCCAGCTCGCCAGCGAGGTACCTGCAGCACAGCGCCACCATCACAGGTTAGTACCTGGCATCCAGAAGAGAGAGAGAGAGTTCTTCTTCTTCCTCCTCTCAGTCCACCATCTCTCTCCTACCCTCTCGCTATCTGACTTCACTGCTTCGGCAGCCTACGAGAGTGAGAGTGGTTTACTTGCAGGGGTACAGGCAGGGGTTGTCACGGGCATTGGCCTAGGATCTGGTTCGACATTTTTGGGCAGACATTGGTTGGACTTCGGCAAGGGACTACTTTGAACTTCGCTATTGCGATCTTAGTCTTCTCCCTTGCCTCCATCTTCGTCCTTCCTACCCCCCCTCCATCTCTCATCCGTGGTATCTCCCCATGTGCGTGTATGCAGGAGGGACCTTCGTCTATGTATACGGTCCCTTCCCTCCCTCTCACATGTGTGATGTATGATGGGATGTCGTAACAGTCCAGGTCAGGTCAGGACACATGTGTGATGTGTGATGTATGATGGGAAGTCTTCCACTCTGCTATTAAATGCCATTGTTCATGTATCAGGATGTACACTGTCTGTTGATGTTACGTTAGCAGTCCATTGTCCAGTCAGTCCTTTTCATCACAATGCGGATCCTTGGCTGAATTCTCAGTGCCCGACTGGGCATGTAACACTCTCTCTCTCTCTCTCTCTCTCTCTCTCTCTCTCTCTCTCTCTCTCTCTCTCTCTCTCTCTCTCTCTCTCTCTCTCTC